ATGAACGGTGGGACGCTGCCACGTCAGGCATTATCTTTCTTTCCGTTCAATGCAGGGTTACACGTGAGACACACGCACACACACGACCCGCATGGATGCGTCTGTGCCAGTTGACGCGAGGTTTAACAGACGTGAATGAAGAACATTTTATCTTGAGTTAGAACAAAAAAAATTGCACCACTTGTTTGACGATGAAAGATTTTAAAGGACGGCATTCATCTCTCGGCTGTCACATTGTCATCGATGTTGACAGCGCAATTTTGCGGATTTAAATTTTTGTTGGCAGAATCTTGATGAACGTACATATGTTGGGTTCCCATACAAGGTAGCGTTCATCATTTTATAACGCGAGTGTCGTGACAATTTTCGGGTTTACGTGAGAGATAAAAGTGTATGGCGACAAAGGAAAGGCTTCATTGACCTCTAAAACGGAACCTGACGGAAGCTTCTGGAACAATCACAGCCGAGATGCTGGAACTCTCGAGGGGGGCGTGTGGCGCCAACAAACGTGGTGGAACACGTAGCAGGCTTTCGCGACCAATATTATTCATAATAAAGGTTTTTGGGTTAGATCGCGTTATTTATAAATGTGTCGTAACCCTCCACCACCCGACACGGCCAATCAGCAAAAAAGTGTCACGCTGACAAAAGACAAATAGTTCACTACTTTAGCCCACCGGTGTGTTGAAGAGTGAATCCACAACATTTACAGTTTGAGTACGACGTTTCGCTGGTAATTACATGCAGCATCATCGGGCAATTCGCCAGAATGGTATAGCCCTCGCTTGCTCCCGGTCTTAAATAGAGCAGCAGGGTGACGTCATCATTTAACTACTTCAGGTGCAGTGATTTGAGGCGGAGGGGGGGTATTGTAATTATATAATCGATTGGTAATCAGTCAATGGTTATGATTAGTAATGAGTTGTAGATTAGTAATTAGTTGTAATGTGTGTTATTATGATTATATGTTAATTAGTATGTGTTTCCCCTATAAGGAATTGTAATATGTATCATTTAATAATACGCTTTCAAGCCGCACTAAGCCTGTAGCTGTCAGAGTGATTAAAGTTATTTATATTTCTCTCAATTTCAATGGATTCTCTAATCAGTCTTGGCCAGTAATAATTAGTTTTACAAAAAAACTTCAACGTTATCAAAATCAATTGAGTGTCCTTGTTGACAAGCATGTTCTGCCACTGCCGACAGTTGTGTTTGAGATCATTTAATATTTCTTTGGTGTTCTTTTAGTCGTATGCTGAGGTTACGTCCCGTTTCTCCAATATAGCATCTGCCACATAAAAAATTAATCCGATGTACACCTTCTGTTGATAATTTAGGTAATTCGTCTTTAGTGCAATATACTAGTTTTGAATTTTGTGTACTGTACCAAATCTTACTGTAATGTTTTGCTTTTGCAAAACACGGGCTAATTTGTCAGTTACTCCTGAGATATATGGAATTTTAATTGTTTTAACAATCTGATCGCTTTCAGCAGTGTTGCTTTGCGATCGTGATTTGGCATTCAGTGCTCTGTTAATTTGAGTATTGTTGTAGCCATTCTGTCGTAATGCTTCCTTAACATGTTTGATCTCTCTCACTAGACTTTCACCATCTGACACTGTTTTAGCCCGATGTATGAGCGTTTTAGCATATAATCACAATAACACACATTACAACTAATTACTAATCTACAACTCATTACTAATCATAACCATTGACTGATTACCAATCGATTATATCATTACAATACCCCCCCTCCGCCTCAAATCACTGCACCTGAATGAGTTAAATGATGACGTCACCCTGCTGCTCTATTTAAGACTGGGAGCAAGCGAGGGCTTTACCATTCTGGCGAATTTCCCGATGATGCTGGATGTAATTACCAGCGAAACGTCGTACTCAAACTGTAAATGTTGTGGATTCACTCTTCAACACACCGGTGGGCTAAAGTAGTGAACTATTTGTCTTTTGTCAACGTGACACTTTTTTGCTGATTGGCCGTGTCGGGTGGTGGAGGGTTACCACACATTTATAAATAACGCGATCTAACCCAAAAACCTTTATTATGAAACGTGGTGGACTCGTGGAGGCTTAGGCGAATGAGAATCGCACGATAACTACCAAGTTTGCATGTGTTCACGAGTATATATTATTTTATCGACCTAGCTCAGACTGCCACCTAATTATATATAATTTATCTTAAATAATACGTAGACACTCTGTATAGTTTCTTTTCTTCCTGGTGAAGAAATATTTGTTCGGCTGAAACGTCATCGGGTTTCCAGCAGTCGCGAGTTATTCCACGTAAAGCGGTGAAGTCAAATTGCTGTGAATAGGAATAATATGCTCAGCGTGCTCGGTGATTGGATATTTCTGCCCCGTGTTTCACAAATGTGTGAGTAAAGTGCCAAACGCATTTGGGAGTCCGCATTCCACATTTGCTTAGATAAGAGACCGCATTTTTTTGTAAAGCCTAGAGGACCAAGTTAAAGTTTAAGCAAAAGCCACTCGCATCACCAGTTGGACTCCTAAATCGAATGTGCAGCGGTTTGTTGACACGTTAAGATCTCAGAGTACATGGCGGGGCTCAGAGTACGTGGACCCGCTCATACGTGACCGGCCCCGATTCGTGGGTCGGTCAGTGTACATATATACACTAGCTGTACTACCCGGCTTCGCCTGGTACTTGGATCCACCACGCGCGACCGCCTTTGTCTCCCCAGTTCACACACCACAACAGTTACTCGTTTGAGGCTGAGTCGACCTAGGGGAGGCCCAGGAGCGGTTGAAATAATCGTCACCGGTGGTGGCCGTGAGCGGGAATCGAACTCGGGTCGCCGGGTTCGTAGCGCAGCGCGCTAATCACTACACTACAATGCGTTACGCTTCCACGCACACACAGACAGACACACACAGACACACACAGACAGCGCGCTAACCGCTACACTACAATGCGTTACGCTTCCACATGCGCGGGTCACGTGACATATTTGACGTCACAGCTCACTTGCCGTGCAAAAAATATATGCATTGTTGAGCTCCCCCTCACCAAAAAAAACCACAAAAGTGTATTTGAATAGTTGTTGTATGGTGTACCGTCTGGAAAGTACCCACATGGTAAATTTCAAGTTTGTTGCATGTCGGGAAGTACGCTAAACATTTTGAACAGACACACATATTCACAACTTTGCCTTTTATATATGTGGAGATTATATCTACACTTGTATAAGCAACCCCCAACTTACGCGAATGTCTCGCTTATGCGGGGGTACACGGAACCTAACCCCCTCCACGTACTCTGAGACCTCACTGTACTGCAGAGATGTTTAAGTATATGATTATTTGAGCTGTAGATTTGTGCATTTACTAGAGGTAGAAAAGCTATGAAACAAATCGTTTTATTGTACGACTTTGCATATATTTTATTCATGTTTTGAAACTTCAGTGCCTTACATGTTGTTTTAGATCATATATACGTCTGTTTGTGCCTAGTTGGGAAAGTAGGATGCCTATTCCCACATGAACTCAGTAGTTTTGATTTTGTCCTAAACATTCATTGTTTAAGTTGAGACGGGTGGCATGGGGGATGGAGTGCGTGATTTACAATTGGAAAGATTCTAAATTCATTTCTCAGTCAGGTGTTTGACTCGGCTCATCATCCGTCTGGGGTCGATAAAATCCGTGCCACTTTGCAGGGAAGTAAACAATGGTTGTCCTGTGGAAACACTTACCCCCGCCATAGGAATGTGTGATTTAAACAGGAGATGACCATTACCCCATGCTCAATTGAGCATGGATGTTTGTGTGTTGCTCTTCATGAAGGTATAGGATTAAAACTTTAAATCGTCTGTTCATTTATTCTCATACTTTTTTAATGCCCCCCGTGACTTAAGGTTATGATTAATTGTACGCAGTATTTACTTTTACAAAGCCAATTATATTTTTGAAATCCCTATTCATGAAAAAGAACGTGTTACATTTTTTTTATATATAATCAAAGCCATCATCAAAAAGCTTTCTTCAATGCTTGTTCATCTCGTTTGGTAAATGTTATGAAAACCCTTTTATTCAAGAATCCAAAACCTTTTTTATGTACCGCTTTCATATATGCCAGGCAAAAATCACGATTCGATTGTGATATGCTTATTAACTGATTTAGATGCTTTCCGTCCATTTGGAAGGTCTATCCATGACCTTCATCTCTTCATCTGTGCCATAAGTAGGGGACATCGGAGAGGGAATGGATTGAAACTTATGGTGACGGAACGTTTGTAAATTGCTAGCAGATTGCATTGAGATTTAGCACGAGGCGTATCGACTCCACATTTCCACGTTGCTGTTTGAAGATAGCCAGACACGGCAGCGTTCTGTGGCCAACGTTGGGGTCCAAGTGGGGCATGCGGTCCACTTCAGCTGGGCTGCTCAGGCCACTTTGCTCAGAGAGTTGCACACAGTTTGACATGGACCACCCTTGGAAACAGTTCATGGCGACATGGGGCAACGTGGAAGAGAGCCAACTTTTGGGCTCGTTTTAACATTCTTTTTTTTAAGTACAAACAATTACAAAAGCAAGAGCTTTATTTTTTATATTGGGATACACTAAGCTCATCCAATAATTTGTTCGCCGCATTAATACGTACATACACATTTTTTTTATTACAATTTTTTCTTGAAAGCACAGAATGGGTCTGGCTTTTTGTAATCATCTTGGAAACAGTGATAGGGGTTGGTCCAGCACGCCCATACTGGACATCTATGAAAAAGAGCCGAAACAGCTCATAGGATTCCTCCAGTCGAAACAAAGATTATTCATTCTGGTAAAGCTCAAACAAATCCCAACGTTTGTGGCCACGACCTTGGCCTCGCGCGTTATTTGGCTATTGTCGTGCGCACATTTTTACACCCGGTCAGGACGATGGGTGAAATGCGCGGCGCGCTGAAGCCCCTCTCCCGCGCGCTTCTCAAGCCAAACGGGCCGCCGCTGTCGTCCCGTGCCGCAGGTGCCGACCGCGATCGGATGACGTCAAACCACGAGTCGTATCTGCTCATGGCAAGCAGCCAGGGTGACATGGAGGAGTGGGTGAAGGCGATTCGCCGGGCGACAGCCAGCCCATCCCTCAGCAAAGGTACGCACCTTCGTAGTTTTGCTTCCGCGCAGCTGGTGACGTGGATGCAGAGCAAACGGCGACGATTTGGCATTCGGGTGGTCGAGCCGGATAACCGCGTCGGGAGCAGCGGAGTCGTGCATCGCTGTGATTTCTCGTTCATGTTTGTGGATCGGGCATTGCGTCATTATATGAACCTTATGGCGGTGCCCCGGGGTGCCATAGTACCTCGGCTCTCGCATAATGTCCGTGACGCAGTCATTCTTAGTCTGTTGATGGTCGGCGATGCGGCAATCGACTCATCTCGACGAGCTGTACACGATGATGCACCACCACTACGGTGTGTACCGCGAGCGTTCAGGGTTTCGGCATAATCGTCCTCGTCGCGTTTCGACATCGCGGAGTGTGGCACTGATTTCAGATTTATTGGTACCCCAGTCGCGGAGTGAAGTAACACCCCTGGAAGAAAAAAATAGTGTCCCAGAAATAACATATTTAATTGCCTCGGCCATTTTGTATTAGTTGGTACCCCGGGGTTCCACCATAAGGATAATTTGTTGTATGCACCAACACACACAGACAAAGACCCAGCTTCCCCCCACTCCCCTTACAGCCATGTAAAACTGTTGGGCCAATTGCTGTTTAGAAGCCCCTGTCAAGGTCAGTTCATATTCTTAGCTCTTTCGGTAGAATCACGTTGAAGGGAAACAATATTGTTTTATATATATATTATTATTTTATTGTTTCCCTTCAACGTGACTTTACCGAAAGAGCTAAGAATATGAATTGCTGCAGTCATGAAAGCTTTAAATCAAAATTTAAGGTCAGTTCAGTTCAGTTTAATTTTGGTATAGCCCTGTGAGCCATTCGGCTCTTGAATCGGGTGCAACCACAACAAATGAAAAACACGAACAAGAAAAAAGCACGGTGCACAAAGTGGTGGTACGGTCAATGCTACAGCCTTTGTCTTTCCAGTGAAGACGTTCACGTACGCAGCAGGTAATAACTTAAGGCTGAATAAACCTAAGTAAGGCCCAGGGTCGGTTCAGGTGATCGCCAATATACGTTAGCCACTGAAGCGAAACGAACTCCGGTTCATAACGCCAAACCATCGCGGCCCCCCAATCGCCACTAAGTGGCAGTTAACGTCTCCACTTCGCTTGTGCCAGGCTAGGTGCATTTAGAGGCGACGTGAAGTGTCGGCATGCTCCGCTGACGGGACAAGATCCCACTCAGGTGCCGTGGGTTGACCGATACGGATGCACGCACAGTCACAGCCTGCCTCCACCACGTGCCCACTCACCTGTCTGCCCTCGTGCAAGCACGTTGTCTGTTCCTCAGCAAGCATCCGCCCATGCGCTCGTTTTGAGCACCAGTTTTATTCACCCGTCTGGGAATGTCGACGTCCTTTATTCAAACCAGGTGAGCGCCGATCAAGGTGGTGTATTGTTATTGCAAGGGAAGCCATGGGGGGTGGGGGGTAATGAGAAATGCAAGAAGCAGTGAGTCTATATTTTGGTTGTTTATCACTCAGAGTAGAAGATTGTTACTGCTGTGTGTGCGTGGGCTTGCTGTGGCTGCACCGGTTACCTCTCGCATGCCAAACATTTATGGATGGGGCTTCGCCAAACACCCAAATGCAGAAACCCTGCAAAGACTCAGTCTTGAAACTCAGAGAGGGCTCTCTCGGGTAAAGAATTGGCAATATCATTATTGTTGCTAATCCTAATCTGTTTTGCACATGCTGCATTATTGTCGTTACTTTTTTTTGTTAATACGCATTAAGCTATGTAAATGTTTAATGATATCCGCTGGCGTGCACTGCCGGTGGGCAGACGTAGCAGCGTGAACAGAGACGTTGTTTTGGTTTGTTGAGGCTGTTAGTCGCGTTCATCCGCCAGTGTGGGGCGACTGATGATGTAAGCATGTACGCTGAACTTCATTTGCACCGTACGTAGCCAACCATATGAAAATCGCATAGCTTCGGTGGCTTCCAAAAATCGGAATGAAGAGAGTTCGGGACGGCCACAGAAGCGCATCTGAAAGCGCAGGATGCCAGTAACCATCTGGAATTCGATGGTTCGCCAAAATCCACTGCTGCTGCTGCGGGAATGGCCAGGCTGTGTGCGTGTGTGCTTCGTGGCGATCGAGAGCGGCTCTCGCTTGTATTGCCGGCTTGGTGCTTCGTGTGTGGCGTTCACAGCGAGGCCTGCACGTGAACCCCTCGCGGGCGCACTGCCGTCCCTTGTCGCGTGAACTCGCCGATCCACCGAATGACGGCGAAAAGCCCTCGGCTGCCACCGGCCGTGTGTTCACAAGCGAGAGAAGTCACAGCAAACTGAAGGCAAACATCATCTCAAACAGGGTGGTAACAAACCGTGTACCACTGGCCATTTGTTGCCATGGATGATGGTTACGAGTGGGCTGGGAAGGCACGCAGCTTCTGGATCTGTTTAAGCAAGCCTACCCCCGCTCCACCCTCAAATTAAGTTACTGCCTCATCCTCCTCCTTCACTGCCCCGCTTCGCTGTGTCCCTCAATGTCTGGAACGGAGCACTCTGAACCAACAGAAGACACCAGGCAGATATGGCTGCATTATCGGCTGCCGCATGCACATCTGATTTTAATTAGATTAATCGGCGCAGCAATCGCATTTTTACGTAATTTTAATTTCATGATTTATATTTAATGATTTTTTTGTGTGACAGTGCAGCGTATACGTTTACAGATTGAGTGCAGATCCTAGGACCTGATTATTGGCTGTTAGGCAGTACTCGCTGTGCTACTGTGTACGCATTTATAACAAATATAAAATGTATGCCGATGTTGGTGTTTAGAGACGAATATCGCTCTGCTTCATTCGTTACCTGCGATGTGCAAATCTTAGTTTTTGTACAGCGTCTTAAGATGGACTTGAAATTAGACATTTTATGACTCTCAGTTGGCGTGTCTTATTGTGTGTGGCTTCTTGAATACACTATTTGACAAAATGGAATGTTATAATACGCTTGCAAATGCATTAGTTTCGGTAACAGTTTCAAAACCAGTTTACTGGAATGTTCAGTTCAAAGTGATGTTCAACGTCATTATTGAACATCATATCTGTATTTCCCTGCTCTACAAAAAATCCTATTAGATGGTTGACCACAAGTGAATAGACATTATTGAGCCATTTCTAATGTCCAGCAAAGCCACGCGCAATGCGAGTTGGAATAAAAAAAAAGCTTCCGAACGCAATTGAATCTCGTTTCAAACAAGGGCCGCTATTAGTTGATCGCCAGGTCACGTGCGGTCGGGTAAAGTGTGGGTACTCACACCTCTGCCAAGAACGTCTGACCAGCATGGAAGAGGAGGCCAGAAACCCTTGAGAGGGGGCTATTTAGAGCTCCTTCCAGTCGGGGCCCTTCTGCCAGTAAGTAGTTGCAGGGTTTGCACCGTCATCTATTTTGCCATGCCTGTAGTTGCTGGTAATAGCTGGCAAATCCAAAATCTGGTGCGATATACATTGAACGTTTGTACGTTCGTTCGTTTCTCAGTCCGCTTGTCCCGGTGAGGCTCGCGGAACAAGCGTGCTGAGTAGGGCGGTCCACACCTCCCTCCCTTTCCCTGGCGACAGACTCGAGCTCTTCCTGGGGAATTCCCAGGCGTCTACAGGCCAGCAGGGCGACATTGTCCTGCCAGCGTGTGCTGGGCCGGCCCCGGGGTCTTCACCCAGTGGGACGTGCTGCTGCCCGGTAGCGTTCAGGGGGAGTCTATCGGAGGGGGGGGGGGCATCCTTACCAGGTGCCGAAACCAACCTCAGCCAACACGGTCATATATCTTCTCCAAATCTTTTTTTATTTGATCTCACAGAAGCAATTTTAGTCATCATTTGAATTTATAAAGCAATTTAGTACAAGGTACTCAAGGCACTGCACATCACAAATAAATAAATACTTACAGAAATTGTACTCTGAAACATCACAAATAAATAAATACTTACAGAAATTGTACTCTGCAACATCATAAATACTTATAGACATTGTCCTCTGCACATCATAAATAAATAAATACTTACAGAAATTGTACTCTGCAACATCACAAATAAATACTTACAGAAATTGTCCTCTGCACATCAGAAATAAATAAATACTTGCGGAAATTGTACTCTGCAACGTCACAAATAAATAAATACTTACAGAAATTGTACTCTGCAACGTCATAAATAAATAAATACTTACAGAAATTGTCCTCTGCACATCACAAATAAATAAATACTTACTGAAATTGTACTCTGCACATCACAAATAAATAAATACTTACAGAAATTGTACTCTGCAACATCACAAATAAATAAATACTTACAGATATTGTCCTCTGCACATCACAAATAAATAAATACTTACAGAAATTGTTGCCGGAGGGGATCAATAACGGGAGCATATTTTTTGATACGCAAATATTTTGAGTCAAACCTGCTCGCTAAATATCTATTTTTCTGACTGTACGGCTAAATGGAAGCTCGCCCTTGTGGTTGCATTTTCAAATGCGTATGCGTATCTGTTCAGAGGTTACATTAGCATAACCTTATCATCCACACATCTCATAGAGTCCTGTTGCATGACATTGTGGATAACAAATGACAAAAACAGACACGAATGTCTGTTTCTCTGGAGGCTGATGTACTAGCATAATCTACAACAATGTCAAGGAGAGATATGGCCTTTAGACCCTTTTTGTTTATGTAAAGTCCCTGATGATTACATTGGGACATTTGAAACTCGACGTCATTTACTATGGCCTGCTCAGAGCGTAAGACTGAGGAGCCTCTGCTCGAAGTGGAAATCTAATCCCGTTCTGCTAAATGCCCCTCTCTATATGCAATTCTGTTTGTGTGAAAAGTCTCAGCAAACTCCGAATCTTTGGCCTCTTTTAAAATCCAGTAATTACACTTTCTTTGTATTGGCTTAAGTAAGCGGGGGAAACCTAAATTGTGTGCACAATAAAATGGCAATTTTTTTAAAGACTGCCTGCCTACCTCG